AAAGGCTTTATCACAGCAAGGAAACCATCCAGGGAACTAAAAGACAACCTATGGAGTGGGAGAAAATATCTGCAAACCATTCATGCAACAAGGGATTAATATCCAGAATATACAAGGAACTCAAAAAGCCGAACTAAAAAATAAGATCTACATAGCCACATATCAAAAGATGACATACAAATGACCAACAAATACATGAAAAACGCTCAATCCCACTGATCACCAGGGAAATCCAAGTGAAAATCAAAATGAGATATCACCTCGCTCACTAGAACTACCACTGTATTGTTGATTAGGATGCAGATTAATGTAGCCATTATGGAAAGCAGTATGGCGAGTCCTTAAAAACTAAAAATACAACTACCATAGGATCCAGCAATTCCACTACTGGGTATATATGCCAAAGACACGCTGCTTCCCCGTGTTTACTTCAGCATCATTCACAATAGCTGAAATGTGGAATCAATCTCCCACCAGTCAATGAATGAATAAAGTGTGTTATGTTTTCACTCATTTGTGGAAATTAAAATGCCAGTCTTATAGACAAATGGAGCTGAAAGAGGGGAGAGGGGAACGGAAAGAAGTTAAAGAAGGAACAACAAAACACAGAGGGGAGGAAGTACTTCTGATATTCTACAGCACAGTAAGGTGACAGTTGTTAAACAATCTATGACATATTCCCAAATAAATGTCAGAACATGAAATTCCCAACACATAAAAATTATTGTTTGAAGAGATGGAAATTATTACCCCAGTTTGTGTACACGTTATACATACATATTGCATCACCATATGTATTTTATAAAGATGTACAAATTGTGACTCAAAAAATAAAAAGAAATAACCTACATCTTGACAGAAAATTTTGCTTTGAAGTTTTCTCGTCAGTACCAGCGGTTGAACCCAGGTCCCCAACACATGCTAGACAAATGCTCTACCGCTGAACTACATTTCCCCAGCTCATTGGCAGAAAACTTAACATATTAGTTCAGGCCTGGATACATATTTTTACATTTTTATTTCTAACGTATTTGGAGCTTTACATGACTTCCTGGCTTAACATCCCGTTGCTCTATTTTCTAAAGTCAGGAATGTGGGGCAAAGGGATCTTCACCAACACACAGGGCTCCACCATCAGAGACATGGAGAAACAGCGCTCTCGCCACAGGTACAGGAAGGGAGGCGGGTGAAGGTGAAAGAGCTGAGTGGGTATGGCCTTAGGTAAAACATGGACGGAGAAGTCTTTCTTCATACACGAGGGCAAGAATCAGAAATACTGCGCAAATGAAATTACGGCTCTCCCACCGGCAGTTTCAGATACCACAGAACCTAAATGTGATTTCTAGCGCCCTCTACAGGGAAGCACGGAACCAGCTGAAACCTGAGAGAAGAAATTAGAGCCTAGCCCTGGGTCACATCAACGGGGCTGTTTTCACTGAGCCTAACCCTTTTCTGCCTGCTCTAATGAGGATCTAAAAAGACTTCTGGAAACATGCCCGACCACATTCTATGCTGCCCTCACGCTTTATGCATATGTGGTTCCAAAACTCATCCACGTACTGTGTTAGTTTTCCCTTCTATCTCCCCAGCTAGTAGGTAGCAAGAGTTGTTTTTCCCTTTTTGTATCCTCAACATAAGCAGTGTCTGTCATGGAATAGCCTCTCCATAAAATGCCAGTTGAGTATGAAAAAGGAGACCCCGTCTCCATTTAACCATCCCTATCCCCCATACTGAGGCCTCCACATTGAGCTGCATTCCCAGTCCTGTTTGTTTGTTTGTTTTTGTTTTTTTGAGGTAGGGTCTAAGTCTCTAAGTTGCCCAGGCTAGGATTGAACTTGTGATCCTCCTGCCTCAGCCTCCCAGACTGCTGCGATTACAGGCATACACCATCATAGCTGGGTCACATCATGACTTTAACAAATTTGTAGAACCAAAGGGCAAGACAACCCACAAAAGAAACTGGATTACCCACAGTTTACTAGTCTTTGAGCTCCTCTAAGCAGATCTCAGGATGCACACTTGGGACCCAGTTACAATGGGGAAGGTGACTGCTATGCACCAAAGAGGAAAGTAGCCTATGTGGCAAGCTGACCTCCTAACATTACTCAAGGGAAATCCACCCAATGGACAAGGAGCTGAGATGTGGGCTAGTACATAGGTTGGAACAGCGCATACTCCAAATATCAAGTGACAGCTACTGCCTGTACCTCAGTGCTGGCCCCACACATACCGATGGGAATCGCAACTCCTTCCCCGCTCCCGCAACATCCACTTATAGCAGCCTGTGGTCCTCAGCTCTGGTTGCACAACAGCATCACGTGGAGAGCTTTTTCAGACCCTGAGGCACAGGCTGCACCTCAGACCAATTAAATCATTACCTTAGGGTTGTGGCCCAGCCTCGGTGTCCTTGAAAGCTTCCAGAAAGGGATCTGGGAATTCAGGGAGGGAGGAGAAGGAAAAGTAAAAGGGATCAAGACGCAATGTGTGTATGTACCAATTCCCCATGATGAATGTGTTAGGTATCACACACACTGATAGAAAAATCAAAAAAAGCACCCAGATTTGTATTTTTTCCCTGAGGAAGCTGTAATAAATTACCACAAACTTAGTCACTTAAAACAACACACATTACCTTGTAGCTCCGTCCTTCCAAAGTCCAAAATGGGTCTCACTGGGCTAAAACCAAGTTGTTGGCAGAGGGCGCCCCCTGCTGGAGGCTCTAGCAGAGAGCCTTTTTCCCTAGAAACACCTGTCAACCATTTTAACCTTTTCCACCTTCTCCAGGTTGATCCTGTTCCACCGCCAGTCACAAGCCTCCTTGCATTTCCAAAAACAACGACTGGAGAAGTCTCCTTCACATTCCCCGCCCCAGTCATCCAGGGTAATCTCCCTATTTTAAAGTCATCTGATTAGCAACAGCATATCCACCTCCTGCATTAATTCCCTTTTGCCAGCAAGCTGTAACACTCACTGCTTGCTGGAATTAGGGCATACACATCATCGAGGGGCCACTATTCTGCTTATCATGTCCAGTGATTCCAATGAGCAAACGTCTTATCTCCTAAGACAGCCAGATCAGGGAAGCGGCCTGGTTAGGGAGCTGAGCCCTGACAGCTGGAGGTACACTGAGCACTGTGGCGGGGAGCTAGGGTAAGGCAGCAGAGAAAAGGCAAGTCAGTCTTCCGAGTTTTACACTGTCGCAAAACGTGCTTGGTGGGGGCTAAGTTATCACATGATTTATTCACTCTGTTCCCTGCAAAGTTAAACTGTATTCTCTCCCAAGAACGTGGGACCATCTCTACCCAGCTGTAACTGCTACAGTAAATTGAGGTCGTAACACAAGATGAGATTTTTCTAGACTTTTATAACCTGTCATCGATCAGCTTGCTCACTCAGCTTGGGTGTGGGCCAAAGCACCCCACAGCGCTGCAGGTTGTCCTCTCTAGCGGAAGGTGAAACTCTTGCCAAACGCTGACTATGGCTCGAGGATGTGCTTTGAGTGACCAACATTTGAATCCCACACACACCATTTAATGACCTTGGCACACAGGGACAGTATTCCTATAGGACACGGCTCAGCTGCTAAATAGCTTCTGCCTTTTGATTGGGGCTTTATTCTCTGCTTTGCCTCCTCACCTCTCATTCTAATCATTTTTACACTAAACTCACTTCACACATTTCCTCCATTATTACTAGGCCAGAAGGAATTTAAATTTGCAACCCTCTTCCTGTGTCCACATGCTTAAAGTTGGGCAAAATTTTCATAAAGGTTCATTTTCCTGTCATTAATGTAAAAGTGATTAGCTCTCTGCAGTAAGGATGGGGTATAGGCCAATGAGTATGCACACAAACCCTTGTCCTCACACCCGCAAAGTGCCTGAGGAGTCAAGATTAGTCTGAGTAAACAGCCTCCAGCTGGTGAGCAAACTGGTCTCCATTGCTACAAACATCCTTTCTGTAGAAGATTAATGGAAATGGCTTGTCAGTCAGCTTTCCGTTACTATAACAAACACCTGAGCTAAAGCAAATTATAAGGGAGAGATGCATCACATACATTTCGGTCCATGGCTAGGCAGATCCACTGCTTTTGGGCCAGTGGCAGGGCTGCATATCATGGTGGTGCAAGCTGCTCATCTCATGCAGCTGGGAAGCAAAACCTGAGCAAAGGGTCCGGGACCCAATATCCTCAAGGGCACATCCCCAATAATCTCACCTCCTGCCACTAGGCCCTGCCTTCTAAAGGATCCACCACCTCCAGGTAATGCCATAGGCTAGGGGCCAACCCTGCATCACCTTGGGGGGACATTTAAAAATCCACACTACAGCACTGCCCAACTGTAACTTCTGCCCATCACTCCTTCTTCAGCCTTCAGAGGGCCAGATCACTCTTGTATTTTGTCTCTCAAAAACATTGAGGACAATTGTTATCCCTAAGTGCTTCTTTCTACCTTAAAGAAGTGAACAAACACATGTACTGGTAAACCTGTAACTCCTGAAACTACTCCTAAGGTATGTCTGGGAACTCTTCATCGTCTTGGTAATTCTCTATCCTGGCCATGCCACCCAAGTGTGTTGCTCCAAACTCCACAGAGCACCAGAGGCTGATGTGACCAAGGAAAGGCAGACTAGGTCTTCTGACTCACACCCTGAGCCTCTGGAACCGATCCTAACACTGCGTGACCTTACAGGTTAGAAAGCCAAGCTGAGCCTTTTGGGGTTCAGAGACAAGGACCTGCTCACATGGTTCCAGAGGAAGACTCTCCCCTGAAGAAAGACCACCTATTTCTAAAAGATAAGATCTACACACACTATTCTGCACTCACATACCTCCTCAACTAACCCAGTATTATGAGCATGACAACCTATCACTGAAATGTGTTTCACTCCAAGAGACTCGAGTTCATTCTAAAGGACCAGGGTGGTGCCTGGTGACAGTGTCTATTTTCCTTGGCTCTGCTCATGAAGTGAGGCCTGAAATAATTAGATGAAATCCAAGCTAATACTGGAACAACTGGTTTAATGGTCTCAACAAACATGTATGATTGATAGTTCTGGCTCAAGTGAGATTTGGGGTTAGATGGAGTTTTGGTTTAAGTATTTTTTATCTCAGATTAAATGAGATAATATATGTACACCACTGAGAATAGTGCCTGGAACACATTAACTTATATTACTAATCTGTGTGCTTAAGGTTTTGCTTTTGTTTTTTGCTATTTTTAAGCGTCTTACTTCCATTACAGCTCTTTACACAGTCTGGCATGTAACTGTCACTTAGTAAACGTGAGTAAACAAATACCAGAGACTTCCGTCTGCCAGGTCTCTGACATACACAGTGATGAAGACAGCTATCCAAATCCTCATCACAGAGATCAGGACAAACGGCTTAGCCTCTAACATCTGGGTAGTTAAGGCAAGCTTCTGAGTAGGCGAGTGGATTCCTAAAATTAGTACAATTTTAGTGACAAGTCCATCTGCGGGAGACACGGAGCAGATATTCTCAAAACTCTGCTTCTACAAGGAAACCAGTCAGTCTTTTGGCATATAGTTCTCTGCTATCTCACTCGAGCTGCTTCCTACAGAAACTCAAAGGGATAAAGCAAACACAAAGCAGTAACAAGAGGTGCAATCAAATCGGTTCTAAAGAGCTTGGCACATATTTCTTGAGACATTTATGCGATGTCTGCTAGGAGTTCCAGCAAGGAAGCCTCTGCAGGGACATGGCGTGGGAAACAATGATGATCAACCCAAGTGACACTGAAGAGGACAGAACGGGAAGGACTTTATTTCCCAGATCTGCAGGTGATCTCACCCAGCTTGAGCCTGCAGGTAGTAAGAGTATGAAATCAAGAAAAGATAAAACTTCTAAAGGCATTGTGCATTGTAGGTCTTCGGTTTTTGCCAGGCCAGGAATCCAATGTCAGTCTGGGCAGGAAGCTCAGAGGACTGCATGGCCTCCGTGATTACACAATCTTTACCGTCTTGAGCATATCGGACAGGACATACGTGTCATCCCAGCCCCTCCCAGGTTTCCTCAGGGTCCACTCCAAGGCCTGCGCCATTTCTAGGAGCTCTGGCGTGGCAAGCTTCTGCTCAGGATGCAGCTGACAGAATAGGATCTCGTTCACTTCTCCTTCAATTCGCCGAACGTACAGGAGAGGAAACACCGCCCTGAGTCCAGCCAGCACTGAGTCCTTCAGCCCTACGTCTCGGCACACAAGGTTCAGGATAAAGACACCTACAGGGTGGGAAAGAAAGAGTTGGACTGACCACAGTTCAGCAAGCATACTGGAGACAAGATCAGGTAGCTCCGAGAAGGCCAATTTCTGTTCCAGAGAGGCTGGTGGACTAAGCAAACACACCTACAGCAGCGGTGAGCTTACGGAGACCATGCAGCGTGCAAAAGCAGAAAGAAAACAGCATGGAGATGTGAGCCACAAGAAAACTTCAGGTTTATTTTAGTCTCCTGTGCAGCTAACACATTACCATTCTGTATGCCTTAATTTCCCAAACAGTGGTTCTGGGAAAGTAATATCCCCAAAAAAGAAAATTCTACTAACCCCATAAGGATGTTATGTTCTTGACATACACATCATGGAGTATCTTTTAACCAATGAGAAGACCAAACTTACCTTATCATCTTGCGAAAAAGCTTCTAAATCAACTCAGCCCAATACACAACTTTGTATCAAAGCAAAGCACTGAGGGGACCCTGAACACAGGGATCAAGAGGTCCACCTTTCAAGCGACCAAGACGGGGCTGGTGTTCCAACTGTTACCAAATCTCAGCCAGGCAAGTCACTCGACCCCCGTTTCCTCATCTAAAACTGAGCTGCTATCAAGATTAAAAACACATGGCCCAGTCTGGGAACTACAGGCAGAATTCAAGTGGTAGCCAGGTTACCGGGTTAGGGGGAAAGTGAACTGCTACAACCACTTTGTGGCAGAATCTACAAAAGCTGAAAATCCATGTAACCTATGACCTGGCTGTTACAACCCCGTGTGTATGCCTGAACCTGCAAACATATTTCACATCATCACGGTAATGGCAGCACTACTTCCAATACCCCCGAAAGAGGAAACAACTCCAAAACCAGCGGTGATAATGAATATATTAACAGTGCTATACTCGCACAATATGAACAGCAGTAACAAGGAACAATGCAAAACACAGTGCTGTGGCTGAATCTCACATTATGCAAAAGAAAACAAACACTTGAAGAGTATACGACATGATTCCATCTACCATCTACGGAAAGGACAAAACAAGCAAAACCAAGCTGTGGTGACAGAGCTAGTTAGTGATTAACCTGAAAGAGGGTAAGAGGTACACTTCTGGAATGCAACAAACATTCTGTGTTTGGGCCTGCTAAACAGACGTACTCAATCTGAAAAAACTAATTAAGTTATATATACTTATATATATTTTATTAAAGATAAACATTTTTTTAAAGCTGCTTCCCTCCTCCCTCCCCGGCCTTTAGTTCTCCATACCTGCATCTGTCAGGATGCTTTTCACCTTCTGCAGGAAAGGCTGGTCCACAAATGCTGGGGGTGGACAACTCATTCCCAGCGTAGGGTCCTTACTGTCTACATCAAACATTATGACGTCGTAGTGAGTCCGTGCTAGGAAAGAGAAGCAAGTAAGTGCTTGTCTTTGCTGCATAAAGTAACTCACTACGTTCCTACAGCAGGTCTGCTCTCTAGTAGACAAGGGTGGCAAAGTCAGAAGAATGACAAGGGGAATGTGGTTTGTCTGTTAAGGACACAGACGTCACAGTCCCGGAGGGTCCTCGTCGTCAACTTAAACTGTCCCACAGTAACGCTGAGGCCTTCCCCCACATTTAAAAGTAACTTCCAAAGGCACACACGTTACCGGGGCCCAGCCTAGCAAGAATATTACATGCTCTACATGTACTTTTCAACTCTGCAGAGCATTAGAATCACCTTGAAAAGTTTCTGAGCACGTAAGAGTGTGTGGGCTCTACTCCTGAGCAACTGAGTCAAAGACCCTGCGACAACAGGATACAGACAGGAGGGGAGATGGAAGTCTCTGCTATTTTTCTTCAGCTCCCCAGGTGATTAAAAAGTACAGAGCTGAGCCAGGCACACACCTATAATCCCAGCCTTCGGGAGACTGAAGCAGAAGGATTACCGAGAGTCCAAGGCTAGCCTAGACTACACAGTGAGTTCAAGGCCAGCCTGAACTACATATAGAAACCCTGTCTCTAAAACAATCAAAAATTACAGAGTTGAGAATCACTGATCTAGACAAAATAGCTCACTGGGCCTTTAAGAGCTGACTCAACAAATAATAACCTTAACTCTGGAAATAGCACATGTTCCCTCATAGGAGAAAATGTCCTGGAACCTGAGTTAATGTATCTTTTCTACTTGAGAGAGAGCTGGCTCTAAAAGGAAAAGATAAGGCAACGTAAGGTGCTGTTGACCTGAATCTGCTCCTCCAGATAATGTTAAGTGGTTTTTGCAAGGGAGAAGCCTGCAATGCCACTGACATGCATCTAGCAAATTCTAAGACTGCGCTAATGATGGTTCAGTAATAAGTACTTCTTCAGGACAGTGTATGCCCATTACTATCCACAAAGCAGATATAACGATGGGGGTTTTAGTGCATGCTTGTGTATGTATGTGTGTGCGTATGCGTATGTGCATGTGTGTACTTGTTTGTTTGGTGTGCTGGAGATCAGACGTGCTAGGCAAGTGCTCTCTACCACTGAGCTGTACCACTATGCCTGCTTTTGGTTTCTTAGTAAGAAAACATGCTGGCTCACCAAAGTCCAAGGGAAAAGATGGCCTTGAGTCCTCTAATAACCTGAAAGTTGTGACAGCTGAAAGAGATGGCTAGGACTATCCAAAACCTCCCTATAGATAATGACAAGAGCAGCACCATGATGGGTTAAATACCTACCACATGCCTGGCACTGTGGCAGATGCCAGACATAGCTACCTTGTTCTTAGATCTGTCAGCTGCTCTTTGTGAGCAAATCTGAAAAGTTGACATGGTTGAATTCTGTCTACAATTAAAATGAAGGCTGCCATTCTCCATCTCAGTCCCAAACACACCCTCCAGGCTTCCTGGTTTGCTACACCACTCCTGGAAGACATTCTAACCCAAGGAAAAACAGGGTACCCGTTATTGAATAAGCAGACCAGAGAAGGGTAGCCTGAGCTTCAGAGAAGAACTGAACCAATCTGACCGAAGTCACTAGAAGCCTCTGTATACAAAGTTGCAAAAGGAACAGAGGAGTTCTTGTCTCTACATTTTGCAGAAAATTAATACGCCTTTTTTATTCTAAGTCTATGGTACAAATTATCATAGCAAAATGTTACTATAATTCTAGAAGCAGGAAGACTATCAAAAGTCCCACCAAGTGGGCTGGGGATATAGCTCAGTGGCACAGCGCCTGCCTGGCAAGCGCAAGGTCCTGATCCCCATATCAAAAAAAAAGCCCCACAAAGTAACATCTTCATCAGGGTTTCTCAACCTTAGTACTGCTGACACTCTGAGCCAGGTAATGCTTTGTCATCAGTGGCTGTCCTGTGCATCGGAGGGTGTTTAGAGGTAGCATCTTTGGCCTCTATCCAGAAAATGCCAGTAGCATGGCCCCCACACACAATCTTTTGACAACCAAAAATATGTTTGCAGACAAACGTCCCCTGAGGCTAAGAACCACAGATCTACAAAAATGCTTTGGGGCTGGGAATTTAGCTCAGCGGCACAGGGCCTGCCTGGCAAACGCAAGGTTGAGTTCGATTCCCAGTACTGGAAAAAAAAAAAAAAAAAAGAGATACAAAAATCTTGTTTCACTACATTTCTGACTTCGCATTGAGCCAAACTGTTTATAAGAGACATCTGCCAACATGCACACATCTTTTCTTCCCTTTTCTAAACCTAGCTACAGACCTCAGCCTCCCAGGAAAAAGCAGCAAGTCTTTTTCATTTGTTGCTATACCCTTAACACAGTGCTAAGGATAGAGTTAGCACTCCATATTTACTGAGTAAACATGGAAACAAATGAACAGAGGCTGGAATGGTGCTGGACGTCCTCACAGAAATGAATTTTAGAAGCCCTGCAGGCCTGACAACTCTGGAACAGTCTCCCCCGCCAACCCCGCTCCTGCCAGATGCAGCCACAGCAGTACCTTCTCCTCCTGCCAGGCGGGTAACATAGTCCAACCCATCTGCAATGTGGACTTTCATCCGGTCACTCTGGGAGAAGCCAAACCACTGAGTGGCCACTTCCAACATGCAGGGGTCGATCTCCACAGCATCCACGCGGGACTTGGGGAAGTGATCATGGACAAAGAGAGGGAGGCTGCCCCCGCCCAGGCCCACTACCAACAGTGCCAGTGGGGTCTCTGTAATAAAAGAAGAAAGCATTACTTTGCATCTGCTCACTGTAAAATTCTGCACCAGCCTCTGGGAGGACAGAAGGAGTCAGACTGTTTGCTCTGCTCAAGGACACATGATTTAAAGATCTGGCCTCCCTGTCTCATTCAAGAATGCAGGAGTTCAATGAAATTTGAAAATTCAACTTTGGCTTCATGCTGACTAGATCCAGAAGACAAACCAGGGTGATGTTCTCATGGTCCTTTACGGATTCCAAAGCACTCAGGTGACACGCCATCAAGAGTCCTGTAGGAGTTACTAGATAAACATCCCACCCGAAGAAATGGAGAAGCCACGGACAAGCACTTTCATTACAGGCAGTACAGGTGTGACGGCCCTCACTTAGCTCTTGACTCAGAGGGCTGTAACTGTCTTCCACGACACACCTGCCAGGCGAGGCCAGCCCATCTAAGTTCCACAAGCCACAGGAAAACAAGGCGCCAGCCCTAAGCAGAGAAGCCACAGCAGTCACAGGAGACTGAAGGAAGACAAGAAACCAAAGGATCACTAAAAGGAGACAAGATCGGATTAAATCTAAGAACGGGGACTCTGAAGATATTAACCTCCCCAGAGGTTATCCTTATTCATGCCAAGAAAGACCGAAACCATAGGGTGCTTCAGAACAGCACACTCAGAGGTGTGAGGTAAACACAGCTGTAAGTGTAGAAGGAAATACGAACGTATTTGCTAACGCAATCAGATCCCAGCCTGTTACAACGGAGAGGGCAATCAGTGCACTAACTATAATAAAGATCCTTTACAGCAGATATTCAACATAGAATTGCTTTTCATACTCAAGAGCCACACATTATCCAAAGGCAAAAGGAATATGAGAACTGTGAGATTTAAATGCACCATCTAGTTAACGTGTATACATACGTAATAATTCATCAAGCTGAACAACTTAAAATCTGTGTCCTTTATACAGCTCACTGAATAACTTTGTACTTTAATTTTAAAAAGAAATGAACAGAGGAAAACAAAATTTAGACATCAACACCTGTAACCATTTCACGATTACAGGTTAAGGTGAAAGTTACATGAATGAACTGGGAGTGGCGGTGCAAGAAGGCTGAAGCGGGAGAATCACCAGCCTGGGCAAGCTAGTGACTCGGCGAGACCCTGACACAAACTAAAAATAAAAAAGGGCTCGGGATGTAGCTCAGTGCAGAGGCTCTGGGTTCCATCCCCAGTGCCGCCCCACTCCCAAAAAACACTGATGCTCATGTTAACTTAGAAGATAGCCGGGATGAAGAAAATCTGTATGAGTACCTGTCAGTCTAGAATCACCATTCTTAAGCTACATAGCAACTCATCTACTTCCACAGTCTCACACGCTCTCCACTGTGAAGGCCGTGAGTGGTGTCTCTCTCACCTAGAAGCAGCTCCGGGTTTCTCAGCAAAGCGAGGCCGGCAATCATGGCTTTATGGTGTTCACAGCACAGGTAACTTTTATCGATGGACTGCCCTGGAGCTGGAGAGAGGTCATCAACAGGCCGCTGCTTCTTCTTGTCCTTTTTCCGTTTCTTCTGGGCTAAAGGAGAGGTTCGGACTAATGAAGTCCTGTGCTTTTTATGCCAGTGGCACGCTGCCGCTGGATCAACCAGACTTGAGAACCAGTTGTTAAATATACAAGAATTGTACAAACTGCTCGACATCAACCATACTGACAGCCCGAAATTCGTCATGGAGGGAATATTTATATGACAGAAGTTGGCAAACTACAAATCAGAGCTTCCCCTCTCCCCGAGAAGGTTATTTTAACATTCAACACAGACCTCTGGATTCCAAGGAGTTGGAAAAGGTGGCAAAAGCATACTCAAAAATCTAGGAAAACTCAGCCAGGTGCAGTGGCACACACTTGTAATCCCAGCTACTTGGGAGGCTGAGGCAGAAGGATCACAAATTTGAGGCTGACCTGGGCAACTTAGGAAGACCCTGTCTCAAAACAAAAAATCCAAAGTGCTGGGAATGTAGCTCAGTGGGAGAACACTGCTAGAGTCAAGCCCTAGTACCACATACAAAAATTTTTTTTAGTTTTCAAAAACTGAAAAACACCTTGGAAAATTCAACTGGCAGGAGCAAAGTTTACCCATAAATTCCTGTACAGAAGATGCACAGTTACTAATTCCCTCCTCCATGCCAATTACTGACCCAGCACTTTTTATCTTTCTGCTCTCCTAACAACCCTGTCTTTCCCATTCTTGGCACAGGCAGGAAGTGAGTATCCAAAGAGTGAAGTCAACAGGCCCAGAATCAGTAAGGGGCGCCGACAGGCTACGGCACCGCCTCTCACCTTCCCGCCGTGCCACACGGACACCACCACACCGCACCCTGCTCGGAAAGGAAACTGGGAAGGGCCAACATCCCATAAAGGGCCCCTCTACCTTCCCTCAACTGCTCCCTCACTATCCTTCTGTTCTCCGCAGAAGCACCTGCTTTTCACAGCAGTGTCCTGTACTGATGGGTAGCTGGAGCGTGCTGTCCAGTCCTCCTGCTGCTCACCACACTGCCACGGCGGAGACCGTGGTTCCCACGGGGAGAAAGTGACACCGAGCAGGACAGGAACTTGACAATAATGGAAAAACCCAAAACCCAAACTGAAAGGGGTAAAATGATCTGTTAAGCAATTTTACTGAGGTTTAGACGAAAGTGAACAGCCCTGCAACCTGAGGAACCAAATGTTAGGGCGGGGCCCCCGACTAACATGGGGGCACTTGGTCAGAGGACAACCCTAAAGAAAAAACCATTCTGAGAATGCCTGGTAAGGGCACATCTGTGACTCAGAGACTGAATTCTGTCTTTCCCTGTCTCTGTCTCTCTCTCTCCCCTCTTCCAGAGGGCCCTGCTATGAGGACAATATTTTAAAGGAGACAAGTGGGAATTAGGAGACCTAATTTCAGATCCTGTCCCTCAATCTCCGTGACAAAAAGAAACTCTACTGCAGAAGAGGCGGACAAGTGCATTTCCTCTTTATTCTACGCTTAGATTTTTCAATCAACTACAATAATCCCAACACAGACACCTACTGAAAGAAACAGGTAAAGCCGCTGACTTCCCCATCAGTGAGATCCTGCACGGCGTCTGGGGGATCACTCCGGGTACCTAGAGGCGAGGGTCCAGACCAGTGGTAGCGACCCTATGGCACGAGTGCCATACCGCCAGGCTGTTTGTACCACTGAAAGCTCTTAAGGGTTCGCCATCATTGGTCTAGACCTATGCTGTCCGACACTGTCGCCACCACTCTTCTCGGCCATTTTAATTTAAATTTAATTAAAACTAGAATTCAGTTCCTTAGACACAGCAGCCATATTCCACATGCTTCACAGTGGTTTATGGCTGATGCCACCACAGCAGACACTCAGACAGTAAACACTTCCCTCATCACACACAGCCCTACAGCACAGTGTGGTCCACACGGCTTCTAAGGCACCCGCCAAATCCAGCACTCTCTAACACTCTGGAGGAACGGGGTTCCCCAACAACCTCCATGTTTCTGGTCAGCTCACACAGGTCTACTAAAATAACATACAAACATGTACACAGCCACTGGGAAAACAGATGCCCTTTTAAAACTGAATATTACGCTTATTCGGCTTCCCTGCCCCTGTTCATCATTTCAGACCCACACTTTGCTCAAGAACAGAACGAACTCCAGGATTCTGTTTATCACCACCAGACCCTGAGAGCCCAGAGGACGGCAAAGTCCACAGACCCGTGTGCTTCTGGTCACAGGTACCCAAGTCTGCCCTACACTTCAGCCAAGCTCCCAGGTCTCTCCGACCACCCCAAACCAAGAGCCCACGCCTTGATCATCCAGGTCCAGCCACCACGCCTGTGACACCTCACCTCTGCGAGACACATCCATCAGCAGCCTGGCTTCGGACTGCACCACATTCCTGTTGCTGAGAAAGATCAGCCGGCGAAAGTATCTCCTGTCATCCCCTTGCACATCCTCAATGACATAGTCGCCACTCAAGGGGCTGCAGTCTTGGTGCTGAACAGTCCGGACTCCAATGTCTCCACCCACAGACAGAAAGGGCACCTGAAGGTACAGCCAGAGACATGGTGAAAACACCTGCTGAATTACAAGACATGAGAAGTTATAATCCTTCCCTTTGTGTGCCAATGAGGAACCCCCATACCAAGGCTCTGGAGGATAACTCCAAAGATTTACCATTCTGTTAAAGTACTTTTGGAAGCCTCTGAATGGACCTTAAAAGGTTTGCTATCACTTTTTTTAAAAATGTTTTTAATTTTATTCGTATTTTAAGTCAACTTTTTTGAGCTGTAATTTAAATCTTTTTTTTTTTTTGGTCTTTTTGAGACAGGGTCTTGCTATGCAGTTCAGGCTGGCCTTGAGCTCACTTTTTAGCTCAGGTTGGTCTCAAACCCACAACAATCCTCCTGCCTCAGCCTCCCAAGTGCCGGGATTACTAGCCTGCACCACCACGTCCAGCTCACTTTTTGAAAATTAACTGAACACACACATATCCCCCAAACTACTAATGCAATTGTTAGTTCTTCCCAAGAATTTGTTGTCAGAACCCCAAAAGAACTCTCAATAGTCCAGGACAACAAAATCTTAAGGGAATCCTCGGGAAGGGCTCTAGCTATGACAAAAAATTAAAGATAACAAAATCCAAGAGTGAAACCACTATTCTAAATTTGGAGTAATTTCTCCCTTCCCCAAGTCCTTCTCATCTTTTTCCCCCCATTTTTCTAAATCTTGGAAGAAAAAATACATTTTCCCCCTAAACCTCTCTTACCATCTTTATATTTACTTATTTTCTTTGTTAGAGAACTGTATTTGATAATCTGTATTTATACCAGTAATCTGTGACCTTGCAAACAGGAGCAATGGCAAGAAAAGGTTACAAATGAAACTTCCCAGAGGATATGGGCAACCCTGAAAATAAAAGTCTCTCTGATGCACACCAAGTTCAAAGTCTTCCAGGAAGAATCACACATTCATCCGTCAACATAAGTTAGCCTAGTGGGCAGGACCACAGGTGGGGAACCCAGGGCCCTGGATTTGTTTTTCAGGTCTGTTACTAATGCATCAAACCTCCAAACACCCTGGCTTTCCCACTTATCAAGAAGGATAAAGTCCTTACAATAAGGCCTCTGGTCAATTATTCCTGGTGACCAGGATGGCATAAGGCAGGTGTCAACCAATAATTTAATATCACATCACCACTTTGGCAAAATCTTCAGTTTCCTTCCAGGCAAAATACCAAACCAATAATGCTGATACCCTGAAAATCATGCTGAGCTGGGCTGGCCCCATCTCTCTTATATTCTCATATAATGAGAGTCTGAAGAAGCAAATGGCCAAGGAATTCTTTTCCAAAAAGGAAGAAGAAAGTCTGGTCTGAGCAATCCACAGTACAGAGTTAAAAGCTGGGAGGAGCATCTAACCTGTGGCCCCTCAGTTAGACATCCCTGTGTTATAATAAAAAAATAGTTTTAGGGCTGAGACTACAGTTCAGCGGCACAGCGCCTGCCTGTCAAGCGCAAGGTACTGAGTTCAATTCCCAGTTTCCAAAAAAAATGGTTTTAAAAAAGTAAGTTTTGCTACCTACATATATTGTATGTTTTTATATGCGACCCAAGATGATTTCTCTTCACTCAATGTGATCCAGGCAAGGCAGGTCATAGACCCACCTGGATTCACATTTCCTTCCTGTAATTTCTGGGGAATTTGACAGCCTCTCCTACACGCCCAATACAGATGCTACTATGGTTCTTATAATGAGCAAGGCTCACCTTCCTCCCTCTGCCTAGGGTAAGGGAAAGTGCTTCTACGTCCACATAACCCTTAACTGCTAACACCTCTCTAAAGATCAGACAAGGGTTACACCTTCTAGCTCTTTCCAAGACTCCCTCTGCCTTCCTGGCTGCTAATATGACCCCAGAGACCAGTGAAAGCTGCTGCCAAAGCTTTGGTACCTGCTGCTGAGCGGGCATCCCAGCTGGGGCCAGTTCCATGACTCTGGCCGACAGCTCGGCCTGAATACTGTCCATGCCGTCATACTGCTGACCTCGATGAAGGGCCACTGTGATCAGCCTCCTGAAGCCTGCGCTGGCTGCCAGCTGCTTCAGGCCCTCCTCCATGCCAAACAGCCACTCAGTCTCCCGGCCCTGGGGAACTGGAAAAGAAAGACCTGGTTACAGGGAGTCCTGGGAAGAGTGTTCATGCGCCCACAACCATTATGGTCCATGTGGCAGAAAGCCAGCCCTGTCCAGGACCAGCATCCTCCTTGCCTGTGACCCAGTGAAAAGCTATCAAACCCTAGCACAATACACCAAGCAAAGCAGCCCATCAGACATGAAGACCAAGGGCAGATAGGAGTGTGGGCAAGTCTTTAAAGCGAGGGAGGCAGGCACTTAATGCAAGACACACAGCCATAATACCAAGGCTTATTACACACCAGGCATGATTCCAAGAAGTCTACAAATATAAACTAGTAGAATCCTCCCAATAACCCAAGACACAGGTAGCATTATTGTTTTACAAGTGAAGAAATCAGACATAGAAGTTATTGCTCACCCAAGTTCAAAAAGCTAGTCAACGGCAAAGCTGTGACTCAAAACCAAGCGGTTCAGTCCTGGGTTCCATGCTTGTATCCAATGCACTATTCACTCCCCCACACAGACAGGTGGGATTACAAAATACTTAGAAAAACAGTTCAGTCATCGGGAAACAAGTTTCCGGCATGATCATAATATTCTGCATTTGGCTAGAACTTTCCACGTTTGACAGCATTTCCTCACACTATCTCCTGATCTTTATTAAGGTAAATCTAGTAACCTGTACTCCTTTCAATAATAATATGTATAAAGCATTGAACACATGCCAGGAACAATTTCTAAGAGATTTTCCATTTCTCACAACTACAGAAGAGAATTAGTCTCATTTTATAGAGAAGGAAACTGAGACACAGGAAGAAATGTAACTTGTTCTATATCACAGCACCTAAAGTGACTAAGCCATGATGGAAACCCAAATAGCTGGGTTCCCTTTTTCAGCTGCTACCTTGTACTGTCTCTGTAAATTCTACAGAGAAGCACAGCAATTCTCCCAGATCCCTCAGCACACAAGCTAGAGCTGTAACTACAACTCACTCGGGGGCCACCTAATTCAGCACTGCTTCCACCATTCAATGGCACGGTAACTAACATCTCTACGCAATGTGCGACCTGCCTAAATTTATCTCCACTCTCTTCCCTACCAACACCACTGTCATACTTTCTCACACCTTTGCAATGGAAGATGAGGAGGAGTAAGACTGAAATCTACGCAGGCTGTTGGAAAACTATTCCTCTCGCTTCACCATGCCTTGGCTAATCTAACTCTCTGGAAGTACCTCCTTCAAGAAGACAAGAACAGCCAAGACACACTCATCCACCAAAGCCCACACCCAGCCCCAACCCCTCCAAGGAAAGAGGGGGAGCAATCCCAACTCACTGATGAAAATGGCAAAATGATTGTCCCGCGATGGTTTCACAGTGGGGCTGTCCACCACGTGGAGGGTGTAGCGTGGCTCCCCTGTGTCCCCATTGCACAAGTCCAGAGACACACTCCCCAGCCCAGACTTGCGGTGGAGCTGGCCACACAGCCAGGCATACTGCTGCCGCTCCCGCACGGCCTCTGCCAGCCGCTCAGCACTTTCCAGCCGCACAGGCTTGCCCTGCTCCTGAACACACAGCTCAAAGATCTGAAGGGCAGAGCCAGGGACGGGCCTGAACTTGGTCATGATGAAGGCAAAGACAGGCAGGGAAAACCGAGGCTCTGCTTCCAACACCTGGTCCTGGCTGTCGGCCACTTGGTGCACCCTCACCATCCACCCCTCCCGAGAGAAGTGACCCACTGCTTTCTTCAGGATGTGAGCCTGAGCCAGGGAGATGCAGAGGTAGCGCCCGCCCACCTGCAGGACACGGCCAACCTCAGCCAGCATCCTGTCCACCAGCTGCAGGGTCCTCTCCTCCTCATCCGTCAGGACAGCATCCAGGGTGCCCTTGTCCAACACCACCTGGAACGAGGCATCGGGAAACTCCATCTGTGTCATGTCCATCTTTAAGAAGCTCATCTGGGGCCGTCGGCTGGCGTTGCGTTCCCTCATTTGCTTGATGACCACCTCACTGATGTCGATGTTCACTATATCCCGATAGCCCACATCATACAGCTGTTCGCTCAGCTCTGAGTTGCCGCAGCCAATCACGAGCACCTAGGGAAGAAACGCAGGCGTAAGACGGAGGCAATCAAAGCAAAGAAATGCACCTCCGACACTTTAAAAAAGTAAAGCTTGCCCTCGCCGCTGCCCGATTTCCAAAGGCCAGGAAGTAGGAATATCACGGTTGACATTAGACTCCCGCTTGAAACATCATTAAAGAATTATTAGTGAAAAACACAGCTACAATACAGGTTATATACTTTGAGGTGCCGAAACAAATAAATCAAGCTGTTCTCTCCTCTTAAACAAGCACCCATTAATAACACATTAATAAGAAGTTAAAGAATCCAAACACAGTTGCTACAGGTAAAATCTGCTTTCCTGTTAGAAACATACGGCCCGGCATGAACTCTACATCTTCTATTCACTCATGCCTTTGCTTCATCAGACAGTGAATTACATTTGTGAGGTTCTGAATCTTACTCCCACCATGGATTCCATCCCATGATATATAGCTGTCCCGAAGTCAGACTTAAAAAGTTACTGCTTCCCTCTCTGTAAAGCAATCTCCCATTCACCCTACAAAACTCTGCTCCGGGATGTCACCATTCGGAAAAGCATAGCTCAAGAAGTGAATAAATCATGGATCCAGGTAAGCCTGAGTTTAACTCTCCACGTAACTTTCTGTATGTCTGAGCGCCCACACACTTGTAAAATAAGTGCATGACTATTGCACCTGAGATCCTGCGAATAACTAAAAGACTACATGTGTATGAAAACAACACCCCACGTGTAGCTTTGCATAAGCTTCCTCTACAAATGTTGGTCTTTTTCCCTACTTTCTGAACAACTTCACCTCTACTAAATCTACCACTGCGCTTCTCACTTCTAGAATCTGTGAAGGGATTGCCTCAAACCTCTGGTAGCCTAAGGGCTGAATATAGTGCCTGGAACTCAGTGAGCGCTCCGAAACACATCGATGAAGCCACTCTTGCTACCTAGCCCAAGGACAGAAGAGCACACATTCAGGGATGGACTCCTAAAGAAGCCACGACTGCAAGAATCGTTATGAATTCAAGGATGCTCCGGGGTGGGAGGTCTTTTATCTAAAAGTTCAGAGGCTATTTTAACGCTGTCTCTTGGCCAGACGAGGCATGGAATCCCGAAAAGCGTGGGTCCCTCCAGTGTCCCCAGGCCCGTGTGCCCAGCAGGTCACTGTTCACAGTTCCCGCCTTCCCGAGCACACGCCCCGGCCCGGCCGCGACCCTTACCTTCTCTCTCGGCTTGATGTATTTGTGCAGCACCCCGCACAGTTCCAGGTAGGTCCCATACCACTCGAAAGCCTGCTTTCCTCGCTGCTGGAAGAATTTCTCCCAGTAGTCAACAGAGCCAAACTCCTTGGAGCTTTTCGGTAGGAGATTCATGGTCCCTCTGCCCGAGGGGCGAGTTCAGGATCTACTGCCCGGGAAGTACCATCTGAGGGGCTCCGGGGCGCTGCGGGGAGAAGTCTACCCACTGACAAACAGACCGATGTGAGCCCCGACTCAACACCCAAGGGAACGACGCTGACACTGCCAACGCTCCCGAGCCGCTGAGCTCAATTTGCACACGCCCACACCCTCCGCGGGGTCCTCAGCCCGGGCCCACGTGCAGAAGCCCCCACCCCAGCGCCCAGCCGGCTTTCAGAGCCCCGCATGCGCAAGCCCGTCCGGGTATGAGGCCTCGTGATTGGTCAGCCGCCCAGTCTTTTTTCGTCCCTTTTTCGTTCCCGACCCTCTCATTGGCCGAGAGGCGCTCGTCTCCGTCCGGCCGCAGCGACACGGCGCGGAGGGCTCTAGCGGCGTGAGGCAAAGGGGGCGGGGCCTCGGACCGCGGTCCGGGAGGAGGAGGCCGGCGCCTGGACCCTGCTCCCTACCGGCGCCGCGCGGGGGCGGCCTTTCCGAGTTTGCACTGCGCAGGCGCAGCGGGGAGCGCTCCACAGGGCCAGCTGAGCTGAGAGCTGTTCCGCCCTGGCTGAGGCGGGCGGGTTAGCGGGCGCGGCCTGGAGGTGGACGACGAAAGAGGAAGCTTTGCTGCTCGCTCGGAAGGAAGTGAGGCGGGGAGTGAGACCAGTCCCTCCTCCGGGCCCGGCGCGGCGCAGTCTGGGTTATCTGCGCTCCCCCGCCCTTGTTTGTCCCGGGTCTCCTTGAGGGGGACTTGGCCCGTGGTTGTCCTTGGCGGCGAAATGCAGGTCCCCTCCCCGTAGTGCAACCTGCAAAGTTTAGGAGGAAAAAGTAACTACTAGGTATTCGGAGAGCCGCCCTCGTTGGTTGCTCGTTTTGATCGTGTAGGTAACTGCTGATTTTGTGTCTGATAAACACACTGTCCTTTAAGATGTTCCTTTCATATTAAAATCTTGAAGAAGTTCCTTGTGACCGGCCCTGTTTTTCAAAGACTGTGTCCTTAGGCCTTTTACAGTGAAATGGGACAGGGGCTGGGGATTTAGCTCAGCGGCACAGCGCCTGCCTGGCAAGCACAAGGTCGCAAGTTCAATTCCCGGTACCGGAAAACAAAACAAAACAACAACCAAAAAAAACTACAGTGAAATGGGGGCCAACAGGCCTGGCACTTCACCTACCGCACTAGCGCAGGTGGCCACATCGTGTCTGCGAATAGATAGGTGAGAGTGGACTTCAACTTTGTTTTAAAGGGATGACACAGAAACTTGGGCGTGCCTTAGAATCACCTGGAGGATTTCTTTTTAAAAAGATGCTGAAACCCTCACCACCACTTGCCATCACCATCTGATTCTTCGGATCAGTGGTAAAACCCAAGGATTTATGTTATGAACAAGTTGCTCGGTGATATTAATGATGCTGGACCAGGACCACACTTGGAGAATCACTTTTAAAATATAATTAAGACATAAGTCGAAGTGGGTATGATTCTTTCTTCACCTCTCCACAAGTGACAGCAAAGAATCAGTTTCATGCATGCTTTGTTTGTTTCAGTTGTTTCCTCCTCACCAGATGCAGAGAACCGGAAGGAGCCTTTAAGGGGTCAGGCTTCTGGCGTCCAAAACTGTAAGATGGTAAATTTGTGTTGTTTGTGGTACTAAGTTTTGTGATTTATTACAGTAGCAGTAAAACACTAATATAGAATAGAACATAAACATGAGGGGGCAGCAGTATGCATTTGAGGTAGCAGTTTATAGTAAGGGTAAAGCAGCATAAACTTGAAGGGCAGGTTTTGTGACGTCTTCTATTCCAAACATTTAGCTTAAGCCTGTCAGAGTACAAAAAGCCAACAAAGAACCAGGCCATGATAGTTGGAAAGAAATGACCTGAGACCTTTTCTTGGAAAGGAATGAAATATTTGATGACTGGTTAAATGTAAGGAATAAAAGACCAAAGGAATCAAAATGGTTCCCACATTCGCCTCTAGATGATTGAGGAAATAACCTATAGAAAGAACCAAGGAGAGAAAAAAGTTACGTGAAAGGTATTTAGAGGTCCCTAAGCCTGTAAAACCCAGAGCCCGAGGTAAAAGCTGGTCTCCCCACCCTGCACGCTCATCCCAGGGTTCATGCCCTTCTCACATTCCACCAGTGGTATCCAGTTGGAGTTAGTGTCCAAGAAATGAAAATGCTTCATGAGTGGGATATGAAATTTGGTAAGGGGAACCTCCTTGGTGTTACAGGGAGTGACTCATATAATACTGGAAACTATTTCAATCTGGCAGTCTTCACAAATGGGTTTGTTTTCCACTTTTGGGAAGTTAAGAAATAAATGGTCTCCTGCGTCTTGGAGTAGTGGAAGATGGGCGTAACAACCTTGGATAATATTATGCCCTTTTATTAGCTGGGTGTCAACACTCCTTTGAAGATATTGTTGATACAAGAAGTAATTCTCAAGCTTATATTGGATTCCTAAAATAGGGATAATAGTAATAATATTCTTTAGTTTGTATGGCACGTATGATTCACCATAAATTTTTTCATAAATCACTTAGAATTCATAGCAAGGAGAGTCACAGCTATATGAATTTTTTTTGTAATTTTCACATTGGCAAAGATGATTGCTTTGACTGGGAGAATATGTCAGTATTATAAAAGATTAATTACTATTCTAGGTGATTACCCACTGATTTCTTAAATATTTATGTGTATGTAATTGAGCCAAAACCCCAATTGATTGAAAGTTAATGAAAAAGTTATAGTTATGACTGATTTGAGCCATAATTACCTCTGGGTATTATGTTTGACTCCCGGAATTTTCTTTGTTCAGTAATTTATTGTCAATAAAAGATATCTAAGGTTTTCTCATATGTGTGAACTGAAAGGCCGTTTATATCTATATTGATTGGGAGGGAGAATGAAGGACATATCATACATGGCAAGTTATTTGCCTTTGGAGAGAGTGGGCAGTAATATTTTGAAAGCTGGAAAGCCAAGGAGTTGAGGGAGTGGTGCCAAGTTGAATAGCCTACTCCTGGTACATTGGACCCCTACATGAAGGGTTGGATCCCAGGAGTAGCCTGGATACTGGGAAAGATTACAATGGTAAACTATTACAATGTGTTCACCATAATTTTATTCTGAACTTCAGTTCCAAGGAAGGAGAAAAAAACCTTGAAAAACAACTTGTTTTTCTGCTAAACTCTAACACTGGACATTTTCAACCATGAACATCTCGTATATCCTGGTTTTTCTGTTTTGTTTTTTGGATTTTTTTTTTTTTTTTTTGACAATCTCTGTCTTCAGCCCATAACAAAATATTTTCCACCACCAAGGGAATGGATTTTAAAACAAAATTTAATAAATGAAATCCATTTAAGTGCTCCACCCAATGTATTTATTTTAACATTCAGATCCAGAGTTCTCAACAAAACAAGAAGAACAAAATTCCCTTTTGTCCAACGAGAAGTTAAAGTATTTTACTTCTGAAACTAACTCTTTCTTTGCAATGGGGGTATAGTTCCTTTCCTGAGAATAATCTCAAACTATGGTATAAAAACCACACATGTAAAAGAATAAAGTTGGGCCCTTTATGCCACATACAAAAGTTAACTCAGAATAAGAACTGATCAATCCCCAGTACCGGGGGAAAAAAAAAAAAAAAAAAACAGAATAAGAACTGACAGCTACAAAACTAGAAAACATAGGGGGAACCCTCATGATATTGGATTCAGCAGGGATTTCTTAGATATAACTCTAAAAGCTAGGACAACAAAAGCAAAAATATGGCAAACTTAAAAACTGCTCATCAAAGAAAATAAAATGAAAAGACTACCCTGTAGGATATATTTATAAATCATATCTGATAGAGGGGATCAATATCCAGAATATATAAGTAACTCCTATAACTCAGCATCAACAATTTTTTTAAAAAGTAGTCATAGGAATTGAATATACATTTCTCCAAAGAAGATATCAAAATGTTTGATATCACTATGAAAAGATGTTCAACATCACTAGTCATTAAAGAAATGGAAATTAAAACTACAATGATAAACTCACCTCACACTCACTAGGATGGCCACTATAAAAAAAATAGAAAATTGTTATTGAGTATGTAGAGACACTGGAACCCTTATATACTGTTGGAATATACAATGGTGTAATTAGTAGGAAGGTTCCCAAAACAAAGATAAAGTGACCACTAAGTCCCCCCTATTATTATGTTATCCTTCTTTTATTCTTTAAAATAAAAAAAAAAGGATAAAGTGACCATATAACCCAGCAAGTCCACTTCTAAATGCATATCCAAAAGAATTGAAAGCTTAATCTTTGAGATATTTATGTGCTCGTGGTCTTAACAGCAGCATTCACAATGGCCAAGAGGTAGAAGTAATCCAGATGTCTAGGAACAGATAAATGGATAAACAAAATGTAGCATATACATACATGGAATGTTCTTAGGGTAACGGACAAATAAAATATGATATACACTATAGAATATTATTTGGCCTTCAAAAAGGAAATCTTGTCACATGCTACAACATGGATGAACCTTAAAGACATAATGCTATGTCATAATAAACCTGTCATCAAAAGGCAGAAACTGTGTGATTTCACTTACCTGGCATATCTTATGTAGTAAAATACACTGAAACAGAAAGGCCTGTGGTCATCACAGGTCCAGCAAGGAAAAATGAGTTGTTTTTCACTAGGTGAAGAGTTTTAGTTTTGCAAGATGAAAAATTCTAGAGACCTATTGCACAACAGTGTGAATGTGTTGACACTACTAAACTGTACACCTAAAAATAGTTAAGATGGCAAATTTTATTGGATTTTTTAATACTATTTTGAAAATAAATAATAAAATTTTTAAAGTGCCAAATTCCTTCCTGCCTAATGGCTTTTGCTTTTGCTGTCCTTTCTGACTGGAGCATTCTTTCCCTTGCTTTTTGTATGACTGGTTCCTTTTAGCACTACTAGTTTCAGCCTAAATGTTACTTCCTCAGAGATATCTCCCTGGACAACTCTATTTTTTGAAATAGGTCCTCTTCGAGTCAGTCTCAGTCACTTGTTAGATCTTCTTGAAATATTTATTACAGTTTGTAATTATATAAACATGTATGGCACAGGCCCTGACACACAGTAAGAACTTAACTATTCTTCTTAAGACAGAATTATTTTTTATGGTTCTGGAGATCAAATCCAGGGCTTTGCCCATGCAAAGCATGTACTCTACCACTAAGCTACATCCCTAGCCCAATGACAAGATATTTTTGTTGTATCAGATGACTTTGAAATGTCAGTCCAGCCTCAGGATTCCCAATAATGGTGCAAGGGCACTAGGCAACACAGCTGTGTGCATACTAGTAGCAGAATGTGTTCAAGTAGGAAGTGCAACGTGGCCAACAAGTAGGATCTTTCATGCCTGGAACCTACAGATGCAAAATTTCTTTGCTCAGAACTTCATGATACCCTCAGGCTTCTCACACCTTGTGGAAATGAGAAATAAAGTAGAAGTTCCAAATCAGGAACCCTTGACCTGCATCCTCAGCCCAGCTATTTCATATGATAAAGTGTTTAATTCTGTGGAAAATCTTGGAAGGATGTCTGTACATTTGGAGAAGAAAGGAACGAATTCCAGAATCAAACCCTAGCATTGTTCTTTAAAACATGCATCATTGATACGCAAGATGTGCTTCATTAAGTAAATGTTAATTTAATTTTAAAAACATTTCTAGAATCACATTTGAATTCTAAATTTTTAAAGATATCCCTAGAGAATTACCTAAGTACTTTTTCTGGTTAGGATTTAAGTATTAAAGGAACCATGGCAACACAATTTGTTGATATTCTTGATATTTGGACGATGAAAACGCCTCTCATTCAAGGTCTTTGATTTAAGCCAGGCAGAGTGGCACATGCCTTTTTTCCAGCAACTTGGAAAATTGAGGCACGAAGGTCACTTGAGTTCAGATATTCAAGACCAGAGTGGACAACATAAGAT